GTTTTTGTATGTGTAAACAATAGTAAGAAAAATAAAAAAAGGAAAAGTAAAAAAAGAGAGGCAGTGGCCTTGCCCGATCTGGGCTCCCCCAAGTTTTGCGCAGCATGCGCCGAACAGAACCTCCCTGGCCCGCTTATGGCGTCCATCCGAATTAAGATCACGGCCCATGACAATCAAGTCCAAGATACGTGTCCTGCGCGTGTGATAGAGAGAGAGAGCGACCGACGGACGCCACCACCACCAGAGCCGAGCCGGCGGCGGGGGCAGCTTGGTCGACGCCACGCCCGCGATGGGGGCGGGAGGATCCTGGCGCTGGGCCGTGGGCGCGGTCTGCGGGGGGCTGGTCTACTACCACTGCGCGGTGCGGCGGGCGAGCGCGGTGTCCCTCGCCGCCGACGTGCTCCTCGTCCTCCTCTGCTCCCTCTCCATCCTCGGCCTTCTCTTCCGCCACCTACACATCTCGTGAGTGCCTCCCTCGCCCCTCGCGCGGCTCGTCTCTTCCGTGCCTCAGCTCCGCCTTTTTTTTTCTACGGCGTGTTTGGTAGTTTAAGGGAAAAGGGAATGGGAATTTATGGGAGGGGAGGTTTGGGGTGGGAATTTGACAGGGAATTAGTTTCCTTTGTTTGGTTGGTGGGTCTAGGAATTGGAGTTGTTCAGATACGCTTTGAGTAGCTACAAACTGAATCGGCTGTATTGTCTAGGTCTGCAACTTCACATGTCAGCGCGTTTGGCAATATTTGAGAAGGGGAATATGAGTTCAGTGTAGGAAGTTGTATTGAGATTAGACATGGGATGAGTCGTTTTATTTCCAATCCCCTGTTTGATGCATGATAGGAATTATGTGTCGGAATTTGAGAAGAATTTTTATTCCCTTGTTTGGTTCATGGGAATGACGAGGGACTAGACCAGGGAAGTGAACATAAGTTATGATGAAGGGTTAAGATTGACTCACTGTTAATAAAACGATGGGAGTTGGGGTCTCAAGTCCCATCCCTATTCCTTTATAAATTCCCAATCCCCTTAACCAAACAATAGATTTGAAGTCTCGTACCCATTTAATTCCCATTCCCTGACTCTAATTACCCCCAACCAAACACGTGATGGCCAGTGTACACACGTGCACTTGCTGCAATTAATCTTGTGTTAGCTGAAAGGCAAGCCATTTCAGCTTCCTCCACTATTCAGGCCAACTAACCTGAGGCAGCAAACAATTTCCAATCAGATCATCAAGAAACAGTCCCAGTTAGTAGGAATTGAAGCAAGACATGGATCATCAAAACACATACCCATGTAGTAGGATATGAAGAAAGACATGGAGCAAGTATCAGGCAATCCACTACTTGATGAAACATATGAATATATCATTTTCCAAGAGTATTAACATGGACTGAAGATGCAACATATCTCCAAAACTGAACTACTGGTGCACCGTAAAGACAATGTAAAATAAATTGCCATGCGTCAATAGTTGCAAACAATGAGTTTAAAAGCAAACAATTAGTAGTCCTGAACTAAAAATCAAAACTGCGAGTGTGGACTCCTAAATCTGGACATCCACTTATTTTTTGGCCACCTCAAGCTCCTGGCGAACAAACACCACTTTGTAATCATCACGCAACTTGATGAAAAATTCTGTCTTTCCAGGATCACCCCCAATGACACGAACAGCAATAGCAACTTTTTCAGTACTGAGATCTTTAAGATTTTGGAGGATATCAAGTAATTTGGTTCTATTGGCTGATGTTTGCTCATGAACTTCAGCTCCATGCATAAATGGCCTCTGTAAACCATTAATGTTTTTTGCATTCTCCTGCTCTGCTTCCAAGAACTTCACAGTTGTATTGCACATGCTTATAAGACCTGACTCAAGTGCATCATCATTAGGGTATGTTCTCTTACGACCAGGCCTAGAACCACCGGATGGGTTTGTGTTCTCATGTGTTTCAGGAGGATTCTCCTTGTCTGGTTGGCTATTAGGTTTCTGCATCTACCGTTGATCCACCTTCTGCAATTTCTTCTTCTCCAGGACCTTTAGCACTCCCTCCTTTAGCCGAATCACTGGCGTAGACCTCATATAGCTTGTCAAAATTAACCATAGGCTTCATGTACAGAGGACCTGCTCCCTCACGGGACCACAAAAAAGAGCATGAATTTCCATTAGAAACTGAATTGTAATGAAAAAACATGAAACAGAGCAGCTTGCTTTACATATTGAATGAACATATTTTACCTTTGCCCAGCCCATATACGTCTCTCTATCTCCACTTACTACCTTCCTCTCGTCATCGCATCCAAACCAGTGCCATTTTGCATAATTTCTAGAACATATGAAAGTTGCTTCTTCAAAATCTTAACTATAGACTTGATATGCGGATTTTCTTTAAGATCAGCATGTGGTAGTACTTCAGCCATTTCCTTCTCAATGTAGGTAAGATATCTGGACTGGTACCAGTATCTATTTCCAAGACGAATCATTCATTTCATATAGAATGCCAATAGTAACTTCTCCTCCGCTGTCCATGTTCTTTTGTCACTCTTTTTGGATGTCAATTTGCTCTCCTTTAGCTTGGTATTCTGCTAGTTTTAATATGACAATAAAATGTATGTGCACAAACAGTAAAGAATATAGATGCTCACAAAGGAAATATCATGTTTAGGTTATTGCTCTTCAGTATGTGCCTTCCCGAGCTACAGTTGGTGGTTTTCTTTACGAAGGCCCAGACTAGAGCGCACCATGGATTTTATCTCTCCAAACTCAATGTTGTGATATTTACCACACGTACATTGTGTGTGTGTGTGTGTGTGTGTGTGTGTGTGTGTGTGTGTGTGTGTGTGTGTGTGTATTGGCCTTTGGCCCCCTAGAAATACAAGTTGCATATTTCCTAATACTTACATCACCACTTCTACTTGTCTGTTGGTAAATTACTTTGCTGAACTATTACTTATGGAATAGAATGCTAAGTCCTCTTTTGACTTATTGAATGGAATACCAAGTTGTCCAAATTTTCCAAATGGTACAAACATGTGTAGACCCTTCAGCCTATGCATTTGGCAATTATCCAAGGGGCAGTAAGAAGAATGCGCCTATGATCCGTCCCTGCTTCATGGGATTCAGTTTCCTGATATTATAATTTGGCAAAAATAAAACTGTCATATAAAACCATTTATATCATCATGTCAAACCAGTGCAGCTTAAGGGTGTGTTTGGTTACCCTCCAACTCCTCAACTCTCTAGCCCAGCTTCCCGTCCAAAAACCGGAGTTGAGGGGATACATTCGGGAGCACAGCTTCTCCATCGTTAGCACTGGCCTGGGTTGGCAGCCCATTTGCCTTGTATGTGGCCTGGCTCGGAAGGATATCAACCTGGGCCTTCAGCCCAACAATCAAGGAAATGGGTGGCTGATCCCAGCTATCATGTAGACGAAGACGGAGCAGAGAGGACGATGAGGTTGGACAGCGTGTGCAGTGTAGAGTCTGCTGGAGGAGCTCACCTCCAATGGATCCAGTGACGCACGGGTGGAGAGGTTGGCCTCGATGGCGCCCGTGCACGCGGAGCACGTTGTGCCCGTGACCCGCACACGTGGTAGGAGCAGGCTGGGCCGCGCCAGGTAGATCAAGGGCGAGCGGTGCTGAGGACAAAGGCGAGCTGGGGCGTGGAAAAAGGTGAGCGGGCTGACGTGACCGTGCAAGGACGGCAGGGCGGTGGGTGGGGGTGGTGG